ATATCCTCCCGAATTTAAAGATTAATATCTCCATGAATTTTTAAGTGAAATACAACTGTAATATATCAAAGTCTAAGTTAGTCCTTCCTCTATTTGATGCAAGTTATTTCTCTTTAAAAGCTATACTTGTTTAGATGTTATTACGAATCAAACAGGAGTACTTTTTTGGGCCACCCGGTATATATATATATATATATATATATATATATATATATATATATATATATATATATATATATATATATATATATATATATATGAGAAGATCAAAACACCAAAATACATTAGCCTACATCACATGCATATACACTGTGTATACATTGCCTTGGCGAGAGCAAGCTCATGCGATATAAATACAAATGCATCGCGTATCTAGACGTGTATACCAAGCTGCACTGACGAGGCGTAGAACGCCGAAACACGCATGTCTGCTGATTTGCGGTTATAGGTTTATGTATATGAAACGCAAAGAGTGCTCAGTACCATGAAGACAGAGGAAATATAGAATTTCGCGTTCCTCAAAATTCCGCAACAGTCTGTTTCATCTGTAAAGAATCATTAGGCGGTATGAAACAGACTGCTGCGGAATTTTGAGGTAAGCGAAATTCTATATATATTTGTATAAAATAAATATGTTACTTGTTGACGTGTGTCGTACCTCTTAATTTTTCGTAATATTTTTCAGTTTCTGTTGCAATATATTAATCTTATCTTCTCCAGGTGACTTTCAATTAACTCGCAAATTCTGGTCAAAATTCTGACTTTTCCTTTCAACTTCCAAGTTCCAACTGTTATAAAAAAACCACTTGTCGTTAATGCTTTTACCGAGAAATTATTTTAGCATTACGTGACCGTAAGATCTCATATACGTCAACTCGTCACCAGACTGCTGAAAGTTTGAACTTTTACTCTACCAAATATTAGGTAGTTTCAAACATCAAATGCACGTATAGGTAAATGATCTATTCGTTAGCAGTACTAAATTGGAAATAACCTAGACTGAATAGCTAGGGCGATTTTTAGATAGGTAAATGTAGACGCTCAAAGAATATTTAGCAGAAGGATGTTTGTGTGTGAAACTAACTGTGTAAAATTCGGTTTCTTGGCCAATTGTTAACATACTACTTGGATAAGGTGCTTACATGTGCATAAGTGTGCTGCCATAAAATACAAATATTTGACAGGTACTTCCATAATATTGGCATCATACACGTAGCAACAACTCCTCGGGGAGAAATAGACCCATTGCAGTTGGCTAAAATAGTTGAGAGCAATAAGTTACTGAAGAGGATGGACAGCTGTGAGATTTGTAGACAAAAGAGTAAGACAAAGCATTTTCTTGCTCTCCAGATATTGTTATGCAAAGTGTTTTCAGGCCAGCTGCAA